TTAAAGCCTAATTCTTGTGTACAATACCTAAGTAAATCTAAAGTGGTATGTATTGTAGCTTTTAACCCATCTGATGTTGATTTGGTCAAGTAGAGTTCTGGCTCAGCACAAGATTCCCACAAGTCCATGTAAATTAAAAAGTTTTCTAATGTTTTTTGTCCCGGTGAATTGATTTTCAATGCATTGAAATAATTATTTGAATTTAAAATATCTGACAATTCGTTAATACGTATACAGAACTGTATGGTGGGCTCACAGTCTTGAAAACCAGGTACACTTCTGTTCTTTAACCGCGTCAAAGCATCTGCAACGGTACCACTAAACAGTTGAAATGCATACCGTGTTGTCATCTTCTCGTGGTTCTCCGGATGCAAATGTTTTCGGGTTAATTTTGGTGCTAATTTAAATTCGTGCCTTGCATCATATTCAAGTAAACTGTCAAAATGGGCTAGACGTACTTTACCCTCAGGAACATGAAATTCCTTTTTGGAAACGAGTCTGTTTCTGATACACTTTAATAGGTGTAAAAAATCAGAGCACATTCTCAGCCTCCTCTCCTCGTTGCAGGGGTGTAAACACCACGGAGCTTTAGGATTCTCTGCACCTAAATGTTTCCACATTGACCTGTTCCAGGTAGCACCATCAGACGTTATTACATCAATAAATAGACCGGCCGCCTCACACAAAATCGTAGCTTCTAAAATTAATTTCGACTGGACGCTCCCTGTAACATTGCCCCGTGATAAAAAACAAGCAATAGCCTGCATATTTCTTCCCGCAAAAGACTGGAACATATTGACCAAGACGTGGTCCCCTAATTTGTCCAGCTCAGTGGCAGGAGTGTGTTCTCCTAAATCAACAAAACCTAGAACCCGCAAACGATTTTTGTCAAAATGCTTAGATGGAGTCACTTTGCACTCATCAATCATTAAAGTTCCATGTCGTTGAAATTCAGGCAGATATTTACATTTTTCCTTAATGAGATCAAACATTTTGGTTTGGAAACCATATTCACTGTCAATGTGACCTATGTATTTCGCAATGGTACTAGGCGCAGGAAGCGGAAGCAGTTCTCTATTCCTTAGATGGCGATATACTTAGTTTTGGACTCTTAATCCGTATAAGTATACAGGAATATATCCAGTTTTTACTATATCGCATCCCTTTTGGTCTTCTATTTGCAGACTCAAAACACATTTTGACTACTAATTTTTGATTTTCAGTTAGCCTAGAAAGTAATTCATCAATGTTATTCATTGTAGCCATTTTGTTCTCCAGATTTTTTGCAGCCTGTGTCTTTCTCTGCAACTGTCTTCTTAAATTAACACATTTTTGGTTAATTTTTTTTCTAAGAATAATTTTTTTATTATCATTTTGGGACCATCGCGGTTTTAATAGCTTTTTCCGAAGTAGTGCACAAGAATGGCAACGATAGGTATTTTGTCTTGGATTTTCCCCGCTACAAAACGGACTGACTTGATTAGCCACACCAGATCCCGCGCATGTTTTGATGGTTTCCACAGTCTTGACAAAATCTAGCAGTTCATCAAGGGTGTTAAAGTTCTTATCAACGGAACGACAAATGTTATTCAAAACAATTTTTATATCGTCTTTTCCGATAAGAACTGATTTGTCGATTTTGGGAATTTCACCCGTTATGTGGCTAACAACGATGGTGTCTAGATTTTGGTGAATACCCCATTGAAGAGGTAATAACTGTACTACTTTATCGATATTGTCTTTAACAAGGTGATATAAAGGCAAGGACGCAAGGCTAGTGGAGGATAATGAATTTCTGGGATCTCTCTGGAGGGTGGCTTGGGTTTCGGTTTCGGCAGATATGGCACTAGAAAAAAATAAATATTTAAAATAAATTGGGACATACATTTACGCAATCTACCCTCAACACGATATTCATTCTCAAATGTGTTAAAGTTACGTTATGCGTTTTTACCTAAAGTATAAAAAACAGAAGGATTAAAAAACGGCTGGGCCACATAAAGGTACTCAGGTTGCACTTTGGTATACCCACTATGTGACACTCCCCTGTTGTTGCATACACTCTTAGGTTTTTAGCAAATAGTGAAATGCGTATTTATAATTTGTTTGAAATTAAATAATATACAGGCATCTTTTATTTTTGAACATACATCATATTTAACCCTTAATTGAATACATGTGGGACATGTTAAAGGTTTCTTTGCCAAAAAACTAGGCATAAAGTGTGGTGTGTACTCAAGAGTTACAAAAATGCCCCTATATTTATGTAATAAGTTGGTATTTGGAGGTGTGTATTTTTTTTTATTTATTGCGTAGGTGTGTTTCAGTAACGTAAGGTTTAAGGTATCTTATCAGATTTTTTTTAATCGGCAATGAAACAATCCATTGCCTTATACATTTCGACTGTGTAAAGTGGGCTATATACTTGTATAAATTAATTTTTGCCGATTAAAAAAAATAAATAATGCAAACCTCTGCAGTGAAGTTTACTTTTTACGACCCGTATGACTAAATGACCACACAATCGTCACAAAAAATAAACTTCACTACCTTGGATCATAGATAGATACATAGATTAGGTAGTTATTAGTACTACTGGTATTACCTATTAGTCAAAGCTTTTCTTTTGTTATGGTACACTTGATGGAATGAGGATGGGAGAACAGTGGATGAATGACTCAGGTGAGAAGATGTTGATCCTAAATTTAAAGTAGGTAGTGCGTTGCAGTCTAAGGTTCTTCTAACCAGCTTGTTATTGTTATAAAATTCATTAATACAACGAGGTTCAAAGTGCTCCATGCAAATGAAAGTGTTCATTTGAAACGCAAAGCCGGCAGAATTTCTCCACAGACTTAGTTTATTCAAATTCTGAAAACACAATTAAACTTCTTATTGTACAGATTAAACACTCTGATAACTAAAGACATGGAACCAGTTACAAAAGATTGCACGTCTCCAAAAAAATAGCAAAAACAAGCATAGAACTCGTCAATCACGCCTCATGTGACTACCTACCTAAAGAAAAAACAAAATGTAATCTGAGGCTGTCGACTATACAACCAAAATTGTTCTGTGGCAATGTTCAGGTGTACTTTTTGAGTTAATGACCTTCAATTAATTGTTATATGACTTCTGTCAGTAATTTTCATGGACAATCCAACTCGAAAATTCTTAACCAATACAATGGCAGAATTGTTTGAAATTTGTCCAATGGCATTCACCGAAAAATTTTTTCAAATATAATATAACAAGTGGTCTGATTTTTTCCGACAAAATTTGTGACACAAATTAACGAGTAGCTGTTGCGACGAAAATCACACGAGTCGACGAAGGAGACGAGTGTGATTTTCCAAAAGCAACAGCTACGAGTTAATTTTCACACAAATTTTGCAGAAAAAATCAGATCACGAGTTATATTCGGCTTGACAATCCAAAGAGAAAATTTTTATTTACTTTTTACGGACAATAATTCACATAATTTATAGTTAGCGTATTCGTTGAGTAACCATACCTACTTAGTCTAAATAGTAACAAAACAACAAGGCAAAACGTAAATAAATTTCTAAACATCAAATTTTGTGTGTGCTGCTGGTTGATTTTCTTAATTCTGGGAGCAAGATTTGGTAATAAGACTGTGTATGAAATTCGAAATGCAGTGAAAGAAAGTCAGTGCCGGAAGACCGCAAGAACGCAAGATTCAATTTGGAAGCAGTTTACAGAATTTTGTGAAATACGCAAGTTTCATCTAAATAAAGCAGTCGAAATGAACGAGGTGGCCAGTATTTTGGAAGATTATGCCTTTAACGCCAACAGAAAAGTAATTTGTATTATCGTTTTTTTTATTAAAGTTCATTTGACAAGTTTGACAAATTAATTTGACATAATTTATTTCGCTGAAAAACAGTGTTGTTGCCTGACAGAAGAATGTTTTTTCACTGAAAAAATTTTTCGGTGAATGCCATTGGACAAATTTCAAACAATTCTGCCATTGTATTGGTTAAAAATTTTCGAGTTGGATTGTCAGTGAAAAAACATTCTTCTGTCAGGCAACAACACTGTTTTTCAGCGAAATAAATTATGTCAAATTAATTTGTCAAACTTGTCAAATAAACTTTAATAAAAAAAACGATAATACAAATTACTTTTCTGTTGGCGTTAAAGGCATAATCTTCCAAAATACTGGCCACCTCGTTCATTTCGACTGCTTTATTTAGAGAAAACTTGCGTATTTCACAAAATTCTGTAAACTGCTTTCAAATTGAATCTTGCGTTCTTGCGGTCTTTCGGCACTGACTTTCTTTCACTGCATTTCGAATTTCATACACAGTCTTATTACCAAATCTTGCTCCCAGAATTAAGAAAATCAACCGGCAGCACACACAAAATTTGATGTTTAGAAATTTATTTACGTTTTATTTTGTTGTTTTGTTACTATTTAGACTAAGTAGGTATGGTTACTCAACGAATACGCTAACTATAAATTATGTGAATTATTGTCCGTAAAAAGTAAATAAAAATTTTCTCTTTGGATTGTCAAGCCGAATATAACTCGTGATCTGATTTTTTCTGCAAAATTTGTGTGAAAATTAACTCGTAGCTGTTGCTTTTGGAAAATCACACTCGTCTCCTTCGTCGACTCGTGTGATTTTCGTCGCAACAGCTACTCGTTAATTTGTGTCACAAATTTTGTCGGAAAAAATCAGACCACTTGTTATATTATATTTGAAAAAATTGATGAAATTTATTTATTTATTTTCAAACATAACCTAGAAGGTGGAAACGAAATATTGGTAATATACTTCTAAGCCTCAGAAAATTAAAACACACAATTCTCCAAACATTCAAAGTCAAGATGTTTTTGTGCTTTAAAATAAAAAGTTAAGATTTCTGTCTGGAGCATCTGAATCGAGATCTGGATATGATGACATGTCATAGGCGCGCTCTTCGTTAAAACTAGAGGTTAATTTATTCGCATGATAAATCTGAAAGACAATAAACAGTTCATTTTATAAACAGCAATACGTTTTACTTGTAAAATGCAAATTAAACATAAAGACGAAGTATAAAACAATTGCGATCACTGCGTTCGTCTATGCTTGGTTAAATTTGTTTCCTGCTGACTCCAAAATGTTGAAATCACAAGATTTTTGGTGTAGATTGGAATTCCTAAACAAAAAAATGTTATAAAGACAAAAAAAAATCAAGCAAAAATGCTAAAACAAGCCAAGAGTACAGCAGAGTTGCGATGTGTGAAAGCGGCTGTCTACATTAAATACATTACCGAAGGAACTTTAAATAGCGTCTTATCGCTGTTAAGCAATTTTACACGGCCACAAATAACGCACCGCCTCATCTTTCGATCTTTCTAAATATCAACAATTCGTTCGTGGAAAAGAAAAGTAGTACTTGTCAAAGTTGACGTTTAATCTGACAGTCACTGAATCACGTATGCGCCATCTATTGGTCACTAGCTCTGGACTGTATTTTGAGTGCCAAAATGGCGGAAGAGACAGCGTACCAAATCTTCTTGTTTATCCTGGTGCCGATGACACGGCATGCCTTACACCAGTTACTTATTGCTAAAGTTCCTAAATACACAAATTCAAATTGTGGCGCCAAACATGCACCTATCAACACCCTCCCTCAATTTGATTTTTCATAACCTTAAATAATATTTACATGTCATTTTATCATTAACATGATCGTTAACAAACCTTAAAATTAAGACAAACAAAAAGTAATGCGATTGTGTTTACAGCGGCCTAACACCTATTTTTTTTACAAAGTTTACTAAATTGATTCGTTCCCAGCGCCTTAGTAAGGATGTCGGCCTTCTGATCTTCGGATGGGATGTATCGAAAATCAATGGTTTTGTTCTGGTACAAATCTTTCAAAAAGTTGTACTTCACGTCAATGTGTTTCAGACGTTGGTGTTCCCACTTGCGCAAAGTATGAATACAGGACTGATTATCTTCGTACACTACAATTGGTTCTTCCACATGTATACCCAAATCTCTCGCAATATTTCTCAACCACAGGAGTTCAGTAGTGGCAGTTGCTAGCGCTACATACTCAGCCTCCGTAGACGATAAGACGACAGTGGTCGGTTTCTTGGTTGCCCAACAGACAGTGGCTCCAAAAACTTCAATTAGGAAGCCTGAGGTGGACTTCCGGTCTGCTCCTCCTGCCCAGTCGGAGTCTGCATAACAGGTTAATGGTGATCTCCCTTCTTTTGGGTAGAAGAGACCATGATCTGCTGTACCTTGGAGACATCGCAGAATTCTCTTTAATCCAATCCAATGACAACGTTTTGGATTGCTTTGGAATCGGCTGTAGAAATTTATCGCAGCACTGATGTCGGGTCTGGTGTTTAGCATGAGGAACATGAGACTTCCAATTAACTCTCGAAAGGGCTTCTCTGGAACTGATTCATTTTCTCCACCGTCATTTCCAGGTTTTATTACCATGGGAGTCCTTACTGCTTTGCACTCTTCCATCCCGAATTTCTTCAGTATTTGTCGAGTGTAGACTTGCTGGCTCAGGAACATACCGTCATCAGACCGATTTATTTCAATGCCCAGAAACATTCGCAGTTTTCCTAGATCTGTCATATTAAACTCTTATTTAAGTTTTTCCTTAACAGTAATCAGAGATTCATAGTCGTTTGCCGCGAGAATAATGTCATCGACATACAGAAGAAGATAAATTTCATTCTAGTCGGTTTTCTTCATATAAAGACACTAGTCGTTCTCTGACCTTTTAAACGACAGCTTCTTTAAGGATTCGTCAAAACGTGAATTCCACGCGCGAGGGGCTTGCTTTAACCCATACAGCGATTTTTGTAACTTGCACACTGAGTTTGAGGCAGTGTTGAATCCTGGGGGGGGTTTCATATAGATTTCTTCATCAATGTAGCCATGTCGGAAGGCATTTTACACATCGAGTTGTTCAGCCACTAAACCCTTTTCATTTATTAGTGACAACAATATTCTCACAGGGTTCAGACGAGCTACTGGCGCATACGTCTCGCCATAATCAAGACCTGGTCGCTGGGAGCAGTCCATTTTGTTTTATTTTGAACACCCATTTGCAGTCTATTGCCCTTTTTCCTTCAGGTAATTCTTCAAGTGTCCATGTTTCATTTTTCAATAGTGATGTCATTTCTTCACTGACTGCTTTTTACCAGCTCTCAGAGTCAGGTCTTCCTTGGATGTCTTCATATGTCAGTAGTACATCATCAATGGATGCACCCAGGGCAACTGTGAAAGTATCGTAGTCTTCCAAATACTTTGGTGTAGTTTTCTTCCTATTACTGTGTCTACGTTCAGTTTCTGATGTTTCTTCGAAATCTTCAGTGGCTTGCTCTATATCTTCCTCAATAGTTTCTTGTGCAACTTCTTCGATTTTTTCTTCAGGCCTCTGTTCTTCATAGAATGTTGGTTCTTCGGCTGCAAACTTCGTTTCATCAAATGTAATATCTCTACCAAAAATAACACGTTTTTCTTGTGAGCACCAGAGCCGATAGCCATTTGAACAATATCCTAGCATGAAGCAGGTTCTGGTTCTAGAGTCTAGCTTCCCCTTTATGAGTTCGTTTGGCAGTCGTAAATATGCTATACATCCAAACACTCTAAGAGGTCTATTTTGTAATTTATCGCTCCAGAACGATCTCGTTCCCAAACGATAATCGTTAGAAGCAATCGTAATAGTATATTAAGTATTAAGAACGGTAAGGGGTGTTTACTGGTCGAAGGCAAAAGTTCGGAGACGGAGCGAAGCGACGTCTCCAATTTGTCTGAGACCAGTAAACCCCTTTAACGTTCGTGATGCTTATACTATTTTTTGTACGACCATCAAAAGATTTGCGTCTTTTTATCAAATTCATAAATTGAAAGAATTTATATCAAACATCAACGAGGTCTTTTTTTTTAATTTAAAATTTGTTACTATGGTTTCGATTAATATAAACAACAATTTTAAAAATCAGTTTCCATTTTGACCGCTGTCCATTTAGATTTGATCTGGCTTGATTTCGAGTTAATTTTCTTTCCGCGACTATTAGTGAGTGATTTATTTGCTTAAAATATCAATCATGAGTGATTCTGAAAGCGAAAATATCGAAGTCGAACAAGCATGGAATTTAAAATAAAAAAAATCTTGAATGCGTGATTACTTACCGTTCAGCTGAACAGTAAGTAATTTGCTTACCGTTCTCCTCTTGGTTGTTAGTCGTAGCAACCCGTAAACTGAACTTACTGCTATGGAAATCTGTACGGTAAATGATCGAAAAAGCAATGGTCGTGCAAAAAATAAGTTTAGCGAGATTGTAAAATTTTATAAACACTATCGTAATCGTAAAGTTTTGAAATCGTTAGCGGAACGATGAATCTAATGTTTTTAGAATCGGTAGTATTTGAATTTGTGTAGACTGTGGATTACGCTGTTCTCTGTGTGACATTTGTTTTGAAAGTTAGTAAAATTTTGTGAAGTTATAACTTATAGCATGTAAGTAAACAATAATTATGAAAGAAAAACATCAAAATAATCACACTAACACGAAATTCAGTTTACAATACGTTCACTGAAGCAATGGACAAACGTAAAAGGGCCCAGCGTATCACTCAACAGCAATACGAGCTTTATGTGCACGAGTTAGAGAGTAACGCCGATTTTAGGGCCCAAAAGTTCGTAGCAGACAAGCCAGATCTTTTGGAAAAAATCTGAGAAGGGTTGGTGGCCAAACTCAATTCTGTGGGAGGACCACAGAAAAGTGTTAAGCAGTGGAGAGAGGTATGTGTAATTAATCACCCAAACACTATTTTTAAAAATGTGTACTTTACTATAATTTATACTACACTTAGCAATTATTCTGCTTACACCAACACCTACTTTTGTTTTAGATGAAGTGAACATAGTGGTTACTCATTATCAGTCAATTATGAGAACTGAGAAGTTTTATGTTTATAAATACTGTTACACTATAAACCATCACCTCTGTATTTTTTAGTACAACACCAAGAATATAACATAGGACAATCTAATTATAATGTTACGTATGTCTGGTACCCAAGTAAATTTCACTGTGTTCCAGAGATTTGCAGATTGGAAATTTAATGTTAGGAAGAAGGCGAGGAATTTAAAGGGGTCTATTTTGTAATTTATCGCTCCGGAACGATCTCGTTCCCAAACGATAATCGTTAGAAGCAATCGTAAAATCAGTTTAGCGAAATTGTACAAATTTCCAATTTTATAAACACTATCGTAATCGTAAAGCTTTGAGATCGTTAGCGGAACGATGAATCTAATGTTTTTAGAATCGGTAGTATTTAAATTTGTGTAGCGTCTAGATTACGTTGTTCTCTGTTGTGACATATGACATTTGTTTTGCTACTGATTGAAGTTTGGACAAATTTTTGAACTTATAACATGTAAGTAAACAATAATTATAAAAGAAAAACATCAAAATAATCACACTAACACAAAATTCAGTTTACAATACGTTCACGGGAGCAATGGAAAAACGTAAAAGGGCCCAGCGTATTACCCAAGAGTAACATGAGTTGTATGTGGAGGAGTTAGAAGGTAATGTAAATTTTAGGGCCCAAAAGTTCGTAGCGGACAAGCCAGATCTTTTAGAAAAGATATGGGAAGGGTTGGTAGCAAAACTAAATTCTGTGGGAGGACCACAAAAAAAGTGTTCAGCAGTTCAGAGAGGTAACTCTTTTTAAAAATGTGTACTTTACTATAATTTATCGTACAACTATTAGCAATTATTCTGCTTACATCAACACTTTGATTATGACAAAGTGAACATCTTATCAGTCCCAAAATCGTTATGGGAACGATTATCGTAAGTTAACGATGCTCTAGCGAGATCGTTAAGAGTTACAAAATAGACCTCTAAGACTGTATGAAAGAGGAACTGGAGGTAGAGAAGCTGCTGCAGGTAGTTTAACAGACCTGGAGCAGCGACTCCTAGGTATTACGGGGAAAGTCGTTGTTGCGAGGTTGGTTTCGTTACCTGAATTAGGTGTACCAATGTAAGTATAAAAAATATTTGTTTGAAAAATGTTGAATAATAAAACAAAGACACATTATTCGTGAAAAATATGGCACGAGTTCATGTGGAAAAATTGTTTTGGTATAGTTCAGCTAAAGATAATAGTGCATATAATGTGTTGATTGGTTAAGTAGTTTTTAGAACATTATCTTCTAACTGCCCATTCACAATTGACATAAGGCATAAGAACGAGAGCATAACATAATTTACGTTTTTGGTTTGTGTCTGGCTTATGCTTATGTACGTTCACAGTGGACAGAGTGAACTCTGTAAGAATTGTTAAACTGCGCAAACGCAGAACAGAATAACTGCCGGCTAAGCATAGGCTGCGATGTGC